ACCAACGCTTATAATGGTTCATACCATTGTGAACGCATGTCTGCACAAAAAATATTAATATAGCGGCAAATCTAGAGACAGCGTAAAAAACATGTTTCTTGTAAAAAAAAAAAAAAAGGTATTTGTACTGTAGGTGTCCCTAAAACTAGATGCATAGCTTGTATTTTAGTATACACTTGCTTTCACATGTAAGTTAAACAGTAAAATAAAAAAATATGTGCAGTCTTTCATGGTCATCCTGTAATAGGTGCAGGAATGCAAACCTGTCACCCTTTATTTAATATCACCAATGTTATTGAGAACCACTCAATATCCCTCAAAACAAAAACAAAAGTTTGATTAATAAATTAGATGTAAGTAAATTCAATATTTAACTTTGGTACACTGAGGCACATTACCGAACATAACTGAAAAAACTTGATCCCACTCCGATTGGTCTAATTCTCACCCTGTGAATATGGGTATAAAATTCAGATCTTCCATGTCGTCAATATAATGACTACCCACGTCAGTTGGGTCACTTCACTCCCATTCATTAATTATCTCCTGTGGTCTCATTGGATAGTAAAGTGTCAATTGGATGCACATTTAAGAATCTAGAAGTAGCTTGTGGGTCATACTTCCGGTTTTCCAATATTATAAATTCGGACATTCTACTCTCAAATCAAATACTGTTTTTGTAGATACTATATAATAGGGATGTATGCGGTTTTGGAAACTGCACCATTTTGCACATTTTGTATATCTTTGCCATTAAACACTCCTGATGCAGAGCTGTAAAAGAAACACACCAAATGTGCAGAGTGGTGGGTCCCACAGCTCTGGAGTTAAAATAAATAACTGTTGTAGATGGTAATACTATTCCTTTGTACTAAAAATAAACATCAGAAGAGGAATTTAGTCACCATTCAAAATGTAAAGTGTAAATTCCCTGTCAATTAAAATGTAGTGGAGTAAAAAGTACATTTACGTCTTTAAAAGTGTAGTAAGAGTAGTTTAAAATGTAGTAAAGAGTGAAAAACGCTAATATATTCGATACTCTGTACAATTACAAATTAGCCAAATCTATACTTAAGTACAGAAAGAAATTACATTTACTCCAATTACTCCATCCACTGCTGAAAAGGCATAATCTTATGATACTACATTCACAGACTGATATCCATTTCCAAAATCCCTGTACTGAAATCAACACTATTCACAACACTAAAATAGGAAGCTCCCTATGGGATTACATGCGATTTTCTCAGTGAACTGAATTAAAATGACTGTCTAATTTATACAAGCTAACCCCATATTGTCAACAAAGGGTGTTGGACATGGCAGATAAAGGAGACAATCGTGAGCTCATATGACAAAGAAAGTGAACATCAGAGCCAAGAGGATAATAAAATGTACAGGAAGAATGTAGCATAATGTATGATGATGAGTATTGAAAAGCATTTCCCCCCTTGCTGCTAATTCTTTGCTGTTTCCCACTCAGTTTTCTTCATTCTTTAGGAACACTGACATAGCAGTTTCAGGCCTGTTCATTAGGGCTGAGCTCAGACACAGAGTCTGATGAGTCCTTTGAAGCCTCACAGAATTCCTTAGCACATGTGGCAGAAATCAGCACTTCATAAGCAAGAGGGAAGGACGACAGTGGGCAAATGGTACACATGCTGAGTTTCAAAGCAACATCAACAGGAACTGGTGTGCCCATCAACGTTCTCATTGAAGCCTGAGCTGAATGCTTTATTTTTTTTTATAAAAATGGAAAAAAAAAACTGGTTTTAACATACAGCATTTATAACTACACCTCTCACAAATCTATCTTTTAAATTCATATTTTGATTAGGAAGCTATACAATATTATATTTGTGCATATACATTAGATTAGTCAGTACTGTAGTCAAATCTGGAGCTTTTCTAACAAAATAACTTACGATAACGGTCAAAAAACTACACCCAAATTTTAAAAAGGGAAAAATCAAGAGAAGTAAAAAAATTGTAGGTTGTGATTTTTTTTTTTTGCAATATTTTGCTTGAATTTAATTGTGTTATCTTTCAATTTAATTTTTTTTTTTGGTGACTAAAATATATTTTTAATAAATATATCTGTCTAATAAATCTGTTTTGTTTAAATGCACCTAAATACATTGCTTATATTCACTGAGAAATAGATTAAAAATATTTATTTTCAAAACTGGGTGTACTCAATTATGCTGAGCACTGTAACTAAAATACACAATAGATTGATCCAAAAAAATTTCCATTAACTTTTTTTTTTTTTTTTTTTTGCAGCTAAAAGCAGCTCAGGTCATATTTCAGAGAAGATATTTTCAATGGGCCAATAAAACAGCGACTAATTTCATCCTCCTCTGAACGGAGTGGTCATTTATGGGGTTTCAGACAGACCTCTGCGAGTCACTAATGGAGAGGCATGTGTCATCCGATATGGGCAGGGCCTTTCATTCAGATTCCAAGAGCAACTGTCAGTCTATCCCTCATCTCTCTCTTTCTCTCCCTCTCTCTAGTGTAGTACATTAGAGTAATTAAGTCTGCCAACAGTTGTTTCTGCTCTTCTAGCTAAAGCCCCAGTCAAGACGTACAGTGTCTGTCCTTTCAGATTCACAAAGGGGACAGACAGAAATCTATTGTGTCTTATTATTTGTTCTATATCATTTAAAAACTGATAGTGAAAATAGATGATGAAGTAAATAAATGTAAAACTACACATTGTCAACTAAAGTCAACATGAAATAGAAAACCCTCGCTAATTTGTGAACAAATTATAATTTTTTTAACCATTATTCCTTTTTTAAACAAAATATTTAATATTCCAGTCTGCCACACTGTAAAAAAAATCCTGTATAATTTACAGTAACTCACTGGCAGCAGTTCGCCAGTAACTTATTGTAAATCTAATTACAGTATAAATACTGTATTTCCATTTACAGCCGATTAAAACATACTGTATTTTAATGGCACCATGGGATATTTCACACAATGCAACTTTAAAATACAGTTCTATACTGTATAATTGTTCTACGGTAAATTACAGCTCATTTTACAGTTAAATACTGTGTAATTTACAGAAATTGTTAACAGTGCAGTGACATGACAGACTTGTATCACATAATGTATGTCTGATATCTTTAATCATTTAATCTACATAAACCTAAGTCTTTCTTTCAATCGCATGCATTTTGCATTCAAATCTGCCTCCATCCAATCAGGAACCGCACTGTCACAGGTTTTTCCAGTTCATTTTATTTAATTACATCACAATACAGAATAAAGGATCTGTCATAGTGATATTAGATTTTGATTCTGTTATTATTGGCATCTCTCAACATTTAGCAACATTTAGCATTACACAAATGCTAAAGTGTAATTCATTTTTTTTTAAACATTAAAGGTAGGTCTCTGAGAAAATACCAGACGTTTAGGTATAAGAAACAGGCAAATGCAATAGTTTAAAAAATAAATCCACCACAATTCATTCTCCAAATGCATGAAAAAAAGAAAACCATTCACAATTCTGTATGCAAATTTGTAATTCCCCAATTAGATTTTAGATTTAACTTATAGTTGCAAGCATTGCAATGTACTTGCAATTAATGTTAGATGTTAGAGTTGTCTGATGGTCATCCATTGTTTTTCTACTACATTTTTTTTTCACAATTTGTGATTACCCAGCAGGCACACAACACCATAAGACGTTAATATTAGGTTAGATTTAGATCATGACGTCAGGTGACCAAAATTCAATGGCTAGCTTATTTTGAAATCCAAAAATGATGTCAAATTATGTTGATGTTTGGTTAATTTTAGGTTGTGTTTGAAAGCGACCAAAATCCAACGTCTGATAGATGTTATAGTGGTAACGTCCACATAACGTCAATGTGTAACACGATTAGACGTAGATATTTGGTAAGCCTGACCCTGGCTTTGGGTTCTGACATCAACCTGATTTTCATTTCCAAACAAAATCCAACGTGCCCATGACATTGAGGTACATTGGCGTACAATGTCAATATGATGGTATGTTGATGTCCTGTGCCTGCAGGGAACAAACATGTTTTGTGCTGTTAAAATAACTGTAAGCTGATTGGAAAATACGATGAATGTTTGTCAACTCTCACTATAGTGTGCTTGGAATGGGAATATACAATTATTATTTGGAGTTTTAGCCAATGATTGTTGAGATGGATATCTTAGAAGCTGTTAAAAAGTGATCCCCTATATTCTGTGCTGCTTATTTACATGCAAAACCAAGTTTTAAAACTATTTGTTCTTTTTAATCTGTATTTTTGAGGTGAAATTTAATACTCAAATACATAACATCATTGACTACTGTACTTTATGATTTTGATTGAACCCTAATAATGTACACCTCTTGTGAAGCAGCTTTGGAACAATAGTTACTGTAAATAAAAAAAGCGTTATACAAAAAACTTGAGATGAACCTAACAATTAAATTGTACAAATTCTGTATAGAGAACTATATAGAGAACGAGCGGCCTCGAATCACGGTTCTGTGCTGTGCTGAACACACACGTCAGATGAATAGCATTTTTGATAACCAAGTAGCCTATCGCAAATTCGCAAAGATTTAAAAAAGAGATGCTGTTTCTAAATTAGGCATGTAAACAACTGCACTGAATGACAAAGCCGTTTAGGAGAAGCCTATTTCTGTCAGCACGGGCTAAATAGCGCATGTGTGCTGGATGCTGCTCACCGCTGGATGTCATACCGTTATCCGCTACCGCACACATTATACACCACCACAAAAAAGACAAAGGGTACAATAAAAAGAAAAAAAGAAAAGAAAAACATGCTTATTAAAAATATATCGTTTAAATGAGCCCCGATGATAACAGCAAATCACACTGAACAAAAAAGGCAAGAGAAGAGCAGAGCTTGGGATGTTTTGCAGGTGTGGCTCTATTCACTCATTCTAAGGGCCAGCGGTACATTGGCCTGCCCACTAAATTAAGAATAGTTGCTATACTCACTCCATAGTGTCTCAATGCTGTTTCCCCCTCAAATTTCAGGTTATTTCCCCGGCTGTTTGTTTGTTTTATCAGAGGCGCAGCAGCATTAGTGTCAGCCCAGTGTCTTCTCCCTGTGTGAGAGCTGTGAAACCAGGAGCTGCTGCTGCGTGCGTCCCTCCCCTGAATCTGCCTCTCTCTGCGCCTTATTATCAGACCACCGCAACCCGGAAAGAAAGTCGCGTGTCAACGAACTCTAAGACATTCACACTGTAGCATATGTTTCTGAACTCACTAAAAGTATCCGTTTTTTGAAAATTTTTTTTTAGTTTTGTACATATACGTGAATAATGACATTTTGTATTAAGGATCTATGGCCCAATCTGACCATTAAAGGAAAGCTTTGTCGCCACTACATGGATGTAAAAGGTACTACGAGCCTATAAATATTTATGCAGTAAAGAGAATAAGTTTAAATACTTGATTTTGCATTGACTATATATTATTAAAAATGGTTGCTCCTGTGACCCATTTACCCAATCACGTGTTCATTAAAAATGACTTACAGTAGCTTACCATTATCTAATAGACAATTTGCTCCAAAATGAGAATAAAAAAGCAAGCAATTGTCATGAATTTTTCTACATTTTAAAAAAGAGAAAACAATATTTCTTGTTAGAGTGCATTTGCAGACCTGCTCATAGTTATACATTTGTAATCCTTAATGTGAGAAAGAACTTACTTACACTTAGAAGGATTATTTATAATAAATATTAAATGTATATTTTAAAATTGTATTTAATTATATAATTATACAGTTGAATATTATTAATTTAAACAACTGGATTGTTAATAGTATTATTATGTGTGATAATATAATAAATCTAAGCAAAAATCCTTCATACATCTCTTGTGTATAAGAAACTATCAGAGTATGCTGCACAACTTCTTCTCTGGGCCCTTGTTATATCCAGGCTCATATTCAATCAGACATGATTCAAAAGGCTGCATGTCAGCTCTTAAACAAGAATGACACATCGCCATTTATCGCCTTGCATAGCCAGCCAGGTGTAAGGGGTGGCTCTTTTTTCTTAAAATGTGGAACATTTTGTAATTATTCAACTCATTTTCTATTTAATTATACATTAAGAGAAATTAATAAAATACTTATTTTTAAAATGCAAATTAATTTCATCATATATCATTAGAAAAAAGGCAATCTTTTAAAGTTTTAAATAAAAAACTGTAGCCTATTTATGTCATTTATTAGTCAAATAACAAACTGGCCGGCACTTTCAACTTTACTTAGTCATAATAGATTTATTCATTAATTTATTTTCTTTTCGTTTTATACGTTTTCGTTTTTATGTTTTATACAGAGGATGCCCTTCCAGCTACAATCTATCCCTGGGAAACATCCATACACACAGACAATTTAGCCAACCCAATTCACTGAAAGCACATGTCTTTGGACTGTGGGGGAAATCGGAGTACCCGGAGGAAACCCACACTAACACGGGAGAGAACATGCAAACTCCACACAGAAACACCAACTGACCAAGCTGAGGCCTGAACCAGCAACCTTCTTGCTGTAAGGCGAACATGCTACCCACTGTATCACTGTGCTGCCCCAGTTTTATATTATTAATTTAAATGATTTTGTGTGAATATGTTATAATATGTGATAATATATTAAATCTAGATGGCAATGTAGCTTAGTGGTTAGCACTGTCACCTGAGAGCAAGAAGGTAGCTGAATCGAGTCCTAGCTAAGCCAATTGGCATTTCTGTGTGGAGTGTACATGTTCTCCCCATATTTGGGTGGGTTTTTTTCAGGTTACTCCGGTTTCCCTCACAGTCCAAAGACATGTGTTATACTGTAGATGAATTGGGTAAACATCAATACATTTTAGTAATAAATTTTGTTTAGGTAAACAAATATGGCCCTAGTGTGTGTGTGTGTGAATGCGAGAGGAGAGTGTATGGGTGTACTCACTATATGCTATCCGAACCGTGCCCAGGCCCGTTTCCCAGATCGTTTAAGAAGTGTGAGTGCGCTGAATCAGGCTCAGGCTCACTTGGCCGGCCCTGACCCGGTTGGAAGAGGTGTGCGTGCTTCACTTGGGCTTTGGTGCGGTACGCTTGTGTGTGAGTGCAAAACGCACCAAAGCCTGAAACTGAAAGCGAGACATGACTTTTAAGGGACTGTTTCATATGGATTTATTAATAATTCTTACTGTTTAATGAACTCAAACTGCCGTAGTTTATTAAAGATGCAACCCTCTCACTGCACGACAGCTGCGCACCTTCAGCAAACCTCCTAATTCCCCTGCAGCACGAGGGCTTTATGATTGTTTATGAGCGTCAAAAGTGGCTGATCTCTTCGACGAAATGTCTGACTGCGTGTTACAGCATCCCAAACGATATAACTGAAGAAATCTCCACTGTGCTGAATGAGAGCGCCCCTGACCACCAGCGCATCATTGATGACGTAAGCTTGCCCAGACCCGATTGTAATGTGAGTGCGGGCCGTCGGGGAAGACGGGACAAGCGTGCTTTGGCCCGGTTCAAGGCAACTGTACATAGTGTGAGTACGGCCTATGTTTGTTTCTCAATACTGGGTTGTGGCTAGAAGGGCATCCACTTCATAAAACATATGCTGGAATAGTTGGAGAGGGGTTTGGATGCAGACCAGGTGCAGTACAATCTAAGCTGCATCCAATGCTTTTTAATGCACTAACCTAACCTCACCCCTCAAGGTGATGTCACTAGCTCTATTGAGCTTGCATCATCAAGGCTTCATCCAGATACTGTTGGCGGTTCATTCCGCTGCGGTGACCCCTGATAAACAAAGGACTAAGCCAAAGGAAAATTAATGAATGATGAGTATTAAGTCTATGCAACAATCAGTTATACATCTCTTGTGTATATGAAAAACGCTCCAGTTACTATAAGTAACCACCGTTCCCCAAGGGGAGGAATGGAAATGCTATGTGGAAACGTCCACTTTGGGGATTTCATCAGAATACGATCATCTAAAAGAGTATATAAACAGGCCAATGAATTGCCAATGAGTTGCAGTGTCAACATGCACAGCTGACACCACTTACAATCAATTTGAAATATGAACGCAGCACGTGCCAAGCTTAGGCATCCTTTTCTAGCTGAGGAATCTGTCACGCCCAATAGCTAAGGGGCAATTATTGTGGTGAAGGAACATGGCATTTTCGCCCTGGTGGCAAGAAGACATATAGGCTAGCCCTGAGAAGGGGGAGTACATGAAAAAGAGATGGTTAGCGAGAAGGGAAGACACTGGTCCACCTGGAGGGGAACTACATCGTGGCTGAGTGAGCATATCGCCAGGGGGATCGCACATAGCAGGCACCAATACCCAGAATGTAGCCTGACCAGCGGGCATGCCAACAATGTAACGGGCCAACACTTGACTTCTTTGCTGAGTCAAATGCTGGGGCCCTCAGAGGAACTCTGCAGTGTTCGCCAAGTTGGGAACTCAACTGACAAAGCGAGAAAGCGTACGTATCTTTGTGTTAGAGAGAAAAAAAAACACCAATTCACCAGCACTGGATTTTCCAGCACACATGAAGAAATCGGCTCCCCTCAAAGATGAAAAAAAAAATCTCAGAAATGTATTAGGTGTCACCCAGCCCGCAGCTCTACAATGTCTGTTAGAGAGGCGCCACGTGTTAATGCCTAAAAGGATGCGCACCCCGAATGAAGTGCACTCTTTCTTCTGGGGGACAAAGCTCACCCTGGCTCAGATAAGAGAGGTAGATGGCATCCACTGTTCAGCTGGTATGTTCCATATATGTTATGGCTCGTTTCCACTGACTGGTACAGTATGGTACGGTTCGGGTCGGTACGGGTCACCTTTATCAGGCTTGCGTTTCCACTACCAAGGGTACCCTTTTGGTGAGCGTGGTGTATGACAAAGTTTCAGTCGACGTCATTTTCGCTCGAGAAAATGTCTACAATAAAGCTGCATAGGTCGTTCACATATCATATGAAAAGCACTTCTCAAAAAAAAGATGCTTTACACACATAAATACTTGTGTATAAATGTTTATTACTAACTTTTCTATAAACAGGAGTTGATTATAACTGCAGATCAATGACGGTGCGAAATAGCCTACTGTAACGTCTATAATTATATTAAATAAATAAATAAATGAACATATATGAACACATACAGACCCTTAAAGTCTCCGATATGTTACCAACTACAGAAGAACTACACAAAGCAGACACTTCGTCGTTAATTAGGTTCAAAACAACACAAAGTATAGCCTACAGTACAGTCAGTGAAAACCTTTCATCTGTGTCTGTAATCTTCATCAGCACATGAAGCCTCTGTTAGAGTCATTCAATCATTCCCAGTTCATATTAGTCCAAAAGGTGATAATAAAGATTAAAACAAGGCAGTTTGTTCACGTTTGCTGAAGAAATAACGTGCTCATTGGCTTCACCTTTTTTCTCGCGCTCCACTCTCGCATTTGTCCTTTTCTTTCTGAATGTGTCACTCTCGTTTGTCAGCTTCTCACAGGATCGGTTTCCAAAGCTTGTCAATAATCAAGTGCATGTTATTATCATCAGATCAAGAAGTTTGTTATTTCAGATAGAGACGCGCGGCGAGCGCAAGAAAGAAAGCGAAACCACTTGGGCTTCAGACTGGCTCGTTAAAAACTACACGGCACAGGGTGAATCTGCTCTTCTCCATGGCTTTGTGGCTGTTTATCATGACGACAGGGTTTGTTTGCAGGATCGACCTTGGCTGCATATTTTTTTATAGTTCCGCTGTAATCTCTCGCTGTGTATTTCAAACATGGTGGGTCCTTTGTGTACATTCTGGCTTGTTGAGTCTACGAATGACGTATCCCTGTAAACCAATAGCGTTCAGCTGCGCGTGTAGCTCCACCTTTTGGGACCTTTTTCTGCAGTTTGTTGAGTCGAAAAAGTGGTACGGTACGGTTTGGTTCGGTACGCCTTTTGACAGTGAAAACAGCCATAAAAGCGTACCAAACCAAACCAAACCGTACCATACCACTCAGTGTAAACGGGCCATTAGATATGGTTCGTCCCTTCTGCCAATCTTCATAACAAATTAAGAGCTACTCAGAGGATCTTAAACCTCTGAGTACGGTCTGTATAATATGGAAAGCGCAAACAGGACAGAGCAATAAAGGAGCTGGGTC